GGGAAGCAAGGTAAAAAATGAACTATTGGGTCTTCATCAAGAGAAAAAGCTTTTGCACAGCAAAAGAAACAGTCAACAAAACCAAAAGACAACCGACAGAATGGGAGAAGATATTTGCAAATGACATACCAGATAAAGGGCTAGTATCCAAAATCTATAAAGAACTTCTTAAGCTCAACACCCAAAGAACAAATGATCCAATCAAGAAATGGGCAGAAGAAATGAACAGACATTTTTCCAAAGAACACATCCAAACGGCCAACAGACACATGAAAAAGTGCTCAACTTCACTCGGCATCAGGGAAATCCAAATCAAAACCTCAATGAGATACCACCTCACACCAGTCAGAATGGCTAAAATTAACAATTCAGGAAACGACAGATGTTGGCGGGGATGCGGTGAAAGGGGAACCCTCCTACACTGTTGGTGGGAATGCAAGCTGGTGTAGCCACTCTGGAAAAACAGTATGGAGGTTCTTCAAAAAGTTGAAAATAGAGCTATCCTACGACCCAGCAATTGCACTACTGGGTATTTACCCCAAAGATACAAATGTAGGGATCCGAAGGGGTACATGTACCCCAATGTTTATAGCAGCAATGTCCACAATAGCCAAACTGTGGAAAGAGCCAAGATGTCTAATGACAGATGAATGGATAAAGAAGTGGTATATATATATATACACAATGGAATATTATGCAGCCATCAAAAAGAATGAAATCTTGCCATTTGCCATGACATGGATGGAACTGGAGGGTATAATGCTGAGCGAAATAAGTCATTCAGAGAAAGGCATGTATCATATGACCTCACTGATATGAAGAATTCTTAATCTCAGGAAACAAACTGAGGGTTGCTGGAGTGGTGGGGGGTGGCAGGGATGGGGTAGCTGGGTGATAGACAGTGGGGAGGGTATGTGCTATGGTGAGCGCTGTGAAGTGTGCAAGACTGTTGAATCACAGATTTGTACCTCTGAAGCAAATAATACATTATATGTTAAAAACAAAAAAAGAAGAAGATAGCAGGAGGGGAAAATGAAGGGGGGAAATTGGAGCGGGAGACGAACCATGAGAGACAATAGACTCCGAGAAACAAACTGAGGGTTTTAGAGGGGACGGGGGTGGGAGGATGGCTTAGCCCGGTGATGGGTATTAAAGAGGGCACGTTCTGCATGGAGCACTGGGTGTTATGTGCAAACAATAAATCATGGAACACTACATCAAAAACTAATGATGTAATGTATGGTGATTAACATAACATAATAATAAAAAAATATATTCTCTCTGCTTCTCCTTCTGTCCCTCCCCATGCACTCCCTCTCAATAATTAATAAATAAGTTGATTAATCAAGAGATATCAAAAGAGAGAGACCAGTGGCAGTATGGTATTTACAAACCCAGAGGTAAATCCCTGAATACAGAGCTAAAAGACAAGAAAGTGGTTGCTTCTGATGAAAGGCGGGGGGAGGCCTAGGAACTGCTTTGTTGTTGACACAAACTTTTTAGCATTTCTTAACCTTTAAAACTATGTGCACATATTACTTTGACAGTGTTTGGTTTTACTTTTTAAAGAAGTAAGGGCATAAATTAAAAGAGATTGCAAACCACTACTATAGGCAATATAGCCTATCCATAGAAATTTCAATTCCACTGGAAGTTATTGGGCAAGAGAGAAATACAGCCATGTTTTTCATACATTTGTTTATTCATTTACTATCTCTCTCACTGGAATTTACACCCTATAAGATCAGGAACAAGAGATGTGCTAGTAAATAACTCTATGAGAAGGAAAATAACTCTTACTTGTATCATTTACCAATTTCTGTGGTGTAAATACTCCCGATGCCTGGTTTCTAGCTACCAACACAATGTCACTAAACACAGAACTGGGAAAAGGTGCACACCATCAGCTTTTGTAAACTGGCTCCAACATAACACTGACAAAAATCTTGCCTTGTTTACTGTTCCATCTGGAGTTTAACATAATGCATGGCACATGGCAGGTGCTCAGCAAATAATTGTTGATCTCTTGACTGAACAGGGCAAAAACAACAGGAGCCCAGGGACAAGAAAACAATGCACTACATCATTTGATCTAAGAAAATACCATTTGGAATTCTGAAAGCAAAATAATCTTGAAAGCTGAAACTATTGAGAGATTTTTTGCCAGGAATCAGAAAACTTCAAGACTAGGGGGCTGAAATCAGATTGTAACTTAGATGGTAAGTATGAGGTCATTCTGGCCCCATGGAAGAAAAAGTGGAAAAGGAAGGTAGCTGTGAGCCAGACATTCTGCTAGTTACCTTACACGTGTGATTTGTTTAAATCTTTGCAATAATCCCAGAAGATGTAGATCACTAACCCATTTTACAGATGGAAAAACTGAGACTCAAAAAAGTGTAAGTAATTTGCCCAAGGACACACAGCTAGTAAGAGTGGGATCTCGGGATTTCAACCCAAGTGTGGCTAATTCTTTATCATATGCTCTTTCTGCTATACCAGCTGCCTTCAAAAAATTTAGCAAACTAATTTTAGGTAAAAGGGGGTTTTGTTTTTCAGAAATCTGAAGATAATTGTCTCATCCTTCTCTCAATCTTTGGTTAGGAGGGTATACCTTAGGCACCTGCAAAGTGGGGGGTGGAAATGCATCCAAATAAGCTGTTTTATAAGATCTAGATTCTTTGTTTTAGCTCTGTTTTCTTGTCTAAAGCAGAGTGCAGGCTGCCTAGCAACCAAGATAATGGTGTCTTTTTTTCCCCTTGCCTTAATTACCTTATGTTTTCCACAAGCACAAAGAGATTGGATCAAATATTAAGAGTAGAAGGTCTGAGTTTTTTGTATCAAAATATCTGTTCATATGTATGTATGATTTACAATACACATACACACACATCTTTCTCTTTCCCTCAATTTCGTGATTAAAGTAAAAAGACTTAGTCTGTATCGATGTGGTGTCATATCATTGGCTAAAAAAGTACAAAAATTCACCATCTCTTTGTTTGCCTATAAATATACCAAGCAACTGGTTTGAGCAACAATTCTTAGCAATTTGCGGGATTCTTGCAATTCTTGACCAAACTGACCATTTGCTTTTAAACATGTGTGTGTCTCCTAAAAGAAAGATTTTTTATAAACATCTCAGTAGCAATCAAGTTCAAAATCTGCCCTGTTAATATCTCTGCTAGTTACTTTTTTATTAGAACAAGAATCAGCAAAATCTTTGTTATCCATACTTAAACTAAACCTAAGTCTTATCTGAATCATTTGTTCAGAGGCAGAAGCAGTCCACAGGATAAAGAAATAAAGGGTGGATATAAAGGAGAATATCATGGAGAACGTGAGTGTTAGACACAATCAGCTGCCTACCTGACAGCCTTCTTCCCTGCTAACAGAATTTCAATTCTGTTCACATTTTTCCAACAGCCATAGGGTCGATCATGATGGTCTTGTTCCTCTTTCTAAAGTACTGATTTAGGTATGCATATGAGACATGAATGTGATCAGGAAAGTATGGAGAGAAGTCTGCTTGAGGAGCATCTGGGAAAGATTTCCTCACTCTTAAAAAGAGGCACAAGAGAGAGTCATTCCCCATTTTTATCTGGAGACCATTCCACCTATAATATGTGATGTCTGGAACTGTGGCAGCCATCATGGGACCATAAGACCAACCAAATCACAATGGCAAGACAGCATGCTATGGCTTGTAAAGTGGAACGATGAGTCGAACTTGGTTCATTGATAACATCATTGAGCTGATGAATTAACTGCCCCTTGAGCACCCATACCTTCAAATTTTGAAAAGAAAAATCACTTGGGCCATTTTGTGTTGAACAGTCTATTACTTATAGCCAGAAGCATTATAACTTACACTATGCTAGCAAATGCTAGAACTTTTAATCCTACTTATGTGTTATTCTAAATACTTCTAAAAATGACTGCCGTCTTCTACATCTAGCCTCCAACCTATACAAACCCCCTCTGTATTTTTTCGAATCTAACTGGTATTTTTGGCCTCACCACCTTCTTCCCATATTCCTTGTCTTTTTTGGATGTTTCCTCTTTATTTTTGTCTTTCTTTTCTCTGCTTTCTTCCCCTCCCTACTCCTTTACCTTTCTCCAGCCCTTAAGTGTCTGTGATTTGGATCTGAAATGTTTATACATATATTCATTTATACACATGTAAATATCATGTCTCGCATATTTTAAGGGAGGAATTCTTCCCCATTCCAAATGATTCCTTTCATACCGAGATAGCTCTACTAGCAAAAACACATCTGACCTCTCTTCATCCCCTTTTTCATTCCTATCCACAAAGGAGGAGTGACTTACCTTACTGGTTAATTTGGAAGGAAAATTAAAGATGTGTGGCCCAGCCCCTCCTAACTTCTTTCTCTTGGGAGCCAGCTACCTATAGGAAGCCCACACCCACTATGCTCCTCCGGGCTGTACATTTTACAAAAGGCATGCCTTTGTGGTGCCAGAATATGGTGGTCCTGCAATGCTGCTGACTAGGTGAAGTCTGGGTAATCCTCAGATTCAGTACTGGGAAGCTCGAATGCCTACAAACAGAAGCCGCGCATTCTCTAATACCAGTCTTATCAATAATGAAGTTAATATGGTCTCATACACCAGCTCTCTTTTATTTTGAATGGATTTAGAACTATTCAAACCAGCTGAACTTGGGTCAGAAATAAGACTTCTCTAGCTCCCTTGAACAGCCCTAATATATATAAAAGCTTTGTTCTCCTGTTCTTAAATATATTTTATTTATTCTTCATGGCTGCATGCTGTCATTGTGGGCAGCTTGACAATAAAAAAAAATGCTTCAACAATGTGCCTTTGTTTTATAAATGTTTTCTGCAAACAAAAGGTGTTTTTAATTTGTGCGTGGTTGCCTGCTTTTGATTGGGTTGCCTGTAGAATAGAGGTTTTCATAGGAACAATAGTGACCTTCCTGATGTTTGAGGGCCTCTGCTTATGATAACTTGTAAATCTTCACTTACTTGATCTGACTCCAGCTTCTCAGGAATTTCATGTCTAGCTGCTGCCTCAGTATAGGCTTGATAGAAGGTCTTTTCTTGGGACTCCATTGTAATGGTCAACACAGCATCGTAGGCTTCCCGGAGCTTTGGGTTGTTCCTCAGGACCTGGTAGGGGGTATGCTTATAAGGTAAACTGTAGAGCAGGGCATCATAGGGAACAAAGACATAGGTTCCATCAGTCATTTTCAGATCATGAGCCCATTCCAAGAGATGCGTCTGAGTTTCTCCCCCAATCAAGGCTGAATGCATACACATGATGATTACTGAAACCAACAAAGCAGGGAGGTTATGGCAGTAATATGTTAGTAAAATAGAATTCCAAAAACCACAGAGGGAGAAATAAATAAATGTGTTATAACCAACTGGTAAATGATTTATATCTTATGCCTCTAAGATGATCAAGATGTTGAAACCCTGAGCTAAGGCTGAGGTATGTTCAGGGACTCTGGATTAGGCATAGGGACGACACAGATACATATATAGACTGCAGAGCCTACTACTAGACAGGAACAAGAACAAATTTAGCAAATGGGAGGTAGCATAATGAACAGGCTTTGGGATTGGAAGATTCAGGTTTATATCTTAACATCGCTAATTATTGTTAGCTGTATACCCTTAGGTAAATTGCTTTACCTCTCTCTGCCTCGTTTATAAAATGGAGATCATAAATATGTACTTCATGCGGTGGTAGTGATAACTGAAGGAGCAATTCGTATAATGGGCTTAGCACATAGCGCTCAAAGAATAGTAGTTATTATTAGTACCTAAGAATAAGAAGGCTAGAGGGAGAGGATGGGGGACATTCTCAGAGCCACCACTGCTACTTATTGCCTGGTTCCTGCAAACATAATTCCAATAGATTTTGCACAACTCTTCCCACCCTTACCATGGCCATTATAGACAATGAGTGGCCCTAGCTCACACTGACCTCTAAATGCTAATAATATTATGGATGATATGTTCAACTTTTAAAAATCTAACTTCCCTATAATTGGAATTACTTTGCAGTCTATTTATTCTTCCTAGACTTATGAAACTATGTTGTTTGGCAAGGCCATGCTAGAACAGAGTGGATTAGAGGAGGCCACGGTTGAAGAATGGCAGCAAGATCATGAGACTGAAAGTCTTCTATCCAATTTCGCCCTTGGCATGCTAAATGAGTTTAGTTTAAGCCCACTTGTGCTTCAGTGCCCACATCTTTAAAATGTAGATTCTAAAGCATTTCACAGGTACATTGAGTAGTTTAATTAGATAATGCCTGGCAAGTATTCTGAGCTCCTTGAAGAAAGGCAAAGGTCCTATTGCTATTGGTAAATATTAATTATACATGCTTACATGGAACCTTTAATCTCAGGGACCGAATACGCTTAACTATGTTCAATGACTGGTCTTTGGCATTTACATATTTCTTCCTCTATTTCCAAGATCTTTTTTTACACTGGTTAAATACCCCCAGAAACTTTCCCCTTTGACTTAGAGCTGATACCATTCAGTTTTTTTTTTTATTTTTATCTATTTGAGAGAGAGAGAATGAGAGATAGAGAGCACGAGAGGGAAAAGGGTCAGAGGGAGAAGCAGACTCCCTGCCGAGCAGGGAGCCCGATGCGGGACTCGATCCCGGGACTCCAGGATCATGACCTGAGCCGAAGGCAGTCGCTTAACCAACTGAGCCACCCAGGCGCCCCTTTTCAGTTTTTTTAAGGTGTAACTAGCAAGTTATGAAGATGATTTAAATCACGTGCACGCACACACACATACAGTGTAACTTTGAGTTTTCAAATAACCATTAGTTCCTTCAATATAATTGCCCTAAGAGGTTTTTACATGTATTCTGATCCTTAAATGTTCCTTCAAATACTCTGGGATATCTTTGGAGCTAGTTCATGAGCCACACAAGGAATTCAGCCTCCTTTGTTCATAATTACATCTTGCATAAATGGATAAATGGGGTGCCAGAGAGGTTTGACAAGCAAAGAGCTGGATTTAGAAGGAAAATCTAGAACCAAAGACATCTAAGTCCCTAAATTTGGTTACACCATTAAACGTGAATCAGTTTGGTCAAATTAGTCCAGTAACAGGTCCACTGAGGGGGAGAAATGAGTTAAGTCAGTTGTTTCAGTTAGTTGGCCAGTTAGTCCACCAGGATCCTTAGCAAGCAAGTCAATATTGGCATCTTCAACAAAAACAGAGATTAGGTGACTGGACCAAGATTCCCCAACAGAGATAAAATTGTATTTACTACATGTCAAGGAATATTAAAAGTACTTCACTAGATGGAAGGTTAAATGGAATTAAGTGCTTTGTGTTGGTTGAAACACAGCAAATAATTTAACATACACTATGTGCAGTGGGTGCCATGGTGTACCACCCAGCTGCACCCTTCACGACTGAAGCACTCATTCTCCTAGCTGCTGGGGGTGGGGCGGTGTTAGGAGATGATAGCTAACACCTCTCTGGGAACTGCCCTCAGCTGAGGAGAGCCACCTCTCCCAAGGTCACACCACTTCAGAAGTGTGCTGGAGCTGGCTGGTGCTGGTTCACAAGAGTCTGTGGTTAAATTTTCAGGGATTTTGTGCCCTAGTCAGTGTCAGACTGATAGCTTGAAATTGGGCATGGTGGGGGTAATTATGGAAATCACTCCATGAAAATTGGCAAACATTACAAATCAGGGCTATTTTCCTTCGACGAACCAGTTATTAAACAATCATTATCACATTGTACCCCTTTCTTGGCATCAGCCTGTCCCCAATGACTGGTCAAGGACTGTGTCTTATTTATCTCTGTATCCTGGTACGTCTTATGCACCCAATGAACATTGTTTAAACGAATGCCTAAAAAATTCAGAGAGGTTGTACACTTAGGTATCTTTTGTAGGTTCCTTGAGATGGAGAGGCATGGTCATATTTGGATTGTTAGTATGGAGAAACAAGTTGAAGTAATATTTACTGAGCAGGTAAATTCTACCATACTTGTCCTTAATGCTTAGTGTCATTAATTATGCTCAAGACCTTACCCTCAACCTTAATCTCTCCTTGTAACTTTTCTTTCATTGGCCCATACTAAGGATATCTTAGACAAAGAGTCAGAATTTTTATGACTGGAAAGACTCTTTGAGACCTACTAGTTCCTTTCCTTCCCCTCATTATTTTACAGATGAGAAAATGGAAGCCTCGAGAAGGTATGATCACAGTCTCCTCCATTTTTTGCATGGCAAGACCTTGCCATTGAACATGACTAAAGTAGAAAGCATAAATACTGAATTCAAACAACAGCATCTTAATTTAATAGATTGAGTGCTTTGTGAACAGGGATTTGTGGATGCATCTGTTCTACATGATGATTTTACTAAATAGCTTTATTATCTCAAAATTACATTCATTAAAATGGGATTTTACCTGTAAGTTGTTGTCAGGAAAGGATTAGTGGACAGAAACCTTAAATCCTAGACAAGGCCTGGGTCAATGGGTGATCATTGAATAATACTAATTTGTAAGTTTCCATCCTGATTGTTAACAGTCAGCCACTCTATAGCCAAAACAAGGATCAGGAGATACATCCTGCTGAGATCCCAGCTCACCACAATATGATACTAGCACTTTCTCTAAGCTTCCTGAACCCCACCCAAGACATCCAGTGGCTATGTCTTCATACTGTGGTACCCACTAGGGCAGGCTGTCCAGGACTTTCTCTTTCACCCTCAACACTAGCAGCAAGAAACATCATGAAACTCCAGGAGAAGTGTATTACTAAGTCGCTCAACTCCTACTTTTCTTCTTATATTGAAATATTCTGTCTGATAGTTCCTTGAGATAGAGGAACTGTGTTTCTCAGAAGGCAAAGTTCACTTCTTTATTTCTCACAGATTACTGGCTATAGAGTCCTTAGTGGAGGAAAACAGGCTCAGTCTCACACCTAAGTCTTTAGTCCTTAGGAGTCGTATTCATACTGTGAGCCCACAATATTGCTCCCAATCCACAGAAACACCCCCCTCCGAATTCTACTGTTCTTTATCTTCATTTTAACCCTTTTGTGACATCTCCTATCACTGACATTTATTTTAACCTATTTCGTTTTAACAAATGTTTAGAGAGGGGGGAAGGTACACAAGCCAGAGGAAGGGAGGGGACATGCTCTGTGATTTACCCCAAGTCTCACATTCCCCCCAGGGTTCAGCCATCTGGCCATACATTTCTGTGAAAGAAGTACATCCGGACCCTCTTCCTGCCAGCTTTCTTCTACTCGGTCTATAAAATGGATTCATAAGAAGAGAGGAGGAGGCTCTGGAATCTGTTTCCAAGCTCCGCCCCCCAGTGTGATTGGCTGCAGGCGGCTTCAAAACACAATGTAAGAACGTGGCACTGGGCAATGTGTGACTGTTTCTATCAGCTAAGGGTACCCCCACCCCGACACACACATTTTTGGCTGTAAGTCCAGAGACCACCACCTACATCAGATCGTGTTTTCTCATATCCAATAAAACTGGTACTGCAAGTGCATTTATTGCTTTCACATCGCTGCCCAGCTTGAGATAAGTTTTTAATATTTCTCCACACCTTGCGACATATGTTGTCTTCAACTTTTTACAACTGCTACACAGATAAGGCCTCTTAAATGTTGAAAGCTTAGATGTAGGATGCCTCTTTAGAGACTTCCTCTTGTGCTGAGTCTTCAATAATTTTATCATTACTGATATCGGACCCATTCATGAGACCGGGTGGTCTTTCACCATTTACATTTACTTACACTTATCCATACCAAATCCTATACCAAATGCCCTATCAACACGAAGGCTCTTAGCCACAGTATTATCAGTACCACTGTTGTTATTACTGTAGGAAAATAAGGCCAACACCAGCTACCCTGGGGTGCTTTCAAAGAATTTCATCAGTAGACCCAACAATTAAGAAAGAGAAATGGAAGAGCTGAATTATACACCTTATATGGCACACACAATCTCAAGTGAGTATGCTTTGGGGACATACCTCAGGTAGACAGGAGGCAGTAGAGTATAAGTCTTTCATTAGACCAGTGGTTCTCCAAGAGTGATCCCTGGACCAGCAGCACGGGCACCACTGTGAACTGGTTAAAAATGCAAATTCTGGGGATGCCTGTGTGGCTCAGTCTGCTGAGCCTCTGCCTTTGGCTCAGATCATGATCCCAGCATCCGGGGATCAAGCCCCACATTGGGCTCCATGCTCAGCGGGGAGCCTGCTTCTCCCTCTCCCTCTGCCTGCCTGCCTGTCTGCCTACTTGTGATCTCTTTCTCTTTCTCTGTCCAATAAATAAAATCTTTTTTAAAAATGCAAATTCTGGGGCCCTTCCCCAGGTTTTCTTCCTTCCTGAACCAAAAACTCTGAAATCTGTGTTTTTTTCATCTTTTTTATTGTTATGTTAATCACCATACATTACATCATTAGTTTTTGATGTAGTGTTCCATGATTCGTTGTTTGTGCATAACACCCAGTGCTCCACGCAGAATGTGCCCTCTTTAATACCCACCACCAGGCTAACCCATCCCCCCACCCCCTCCCCTCTAGAACCCTCAGTTTGCTTTTCAGAGTCCATCATCTCTCATGGTTCGTCTCCCCCTCCGACTTACTCCCCTTCATCTGTGTTTTAACAAGCCCTCCAGCAGATTCTGGTAAACACCAATGTTTGAGAGGCACTGCTTTGGACCAACCTGAGTACATAGCCCGCTTTCCCATTCACTAGCTGTGTGACATTTGGCAAGTTATTTAACCTCTTTCAGCCTCTGGAATCTCATCCATAAAGTGTGTTAAATAATAACCTTATTATATAGGGATGTTGCAAGAACTGAATGAGATGGTCTGTACAAAGCCCTTGCAAAATGACTAGCATGCAATAAACTCTCAGGAAATATTAGCTATTACCAATGTTGCTATTATTTCTTTGACTTTTTTTAATGTACAATAATCTTCAATAGGTGGGAAGAGGCTAGCCAGATCCCTGGCAATAACATAGTAATAAGGTTTTCAATTTCGGACAAACAAGAGAAGACCATTCTGTGTCCTATTTACTGAATATCATATTGTAATGCAGCATTCCTAATTTGAAAGGATTTAAAGGCATCCCCAATGGTTCAACAATCCGGTAAGCCCAAATGGAAAGGATTTCACAGTCAGCCAAGCATCCATAGGCAAAAAGGTGATGAGAGGAGAGGAGAATTTGAAATCGCCTTTTGAAAAGTTCTCCAAAGAGCTTTTCAGTGGGGCCTACTGCTAACCTTTGTGAGAATCAGCAAAAACAAAACAAAACAAAACCAAAAAACCTCTTCTGGGTAATTGCAATCCAACAGGTGCTCCACCTGGTGAGTTGATGCTCTTTTATACCATGGGATCAAAACTTCCACCAGGGCTCATTTTTTAAGTAGAGAATAAACTGGATTTTGGCCCTCCTGCCCACTCAGCTAGATCCCCTGGTGCCAGACACAACCTCCATAAGCATGTACAGCAGCCCTGACTGTAAATTGAGGCCTTTTGTCTTTGATTACTATCTTTCCTATTTGACTTTGTCAGAAACAAAGATTATTGGTAATTGCTTCTGAAGCTTCAAGGAAAGGAGCCGAGCATCTGGGACAGGCCGAATCTCCCCTTCTCTGGGACTTCACTTACCCCATTGTTTGTTGTTAAGAAGGCCTACACCTACCTACTTGTGATGTGAGGCTCACAGGTGTTGTAAAACTTGAAAGGAAATACCTATCTTCTGGGTAATCCTGAGGATTAAATGAGATTAAATATATGCAAATACCTTGTAAACTGTAGAGAGCTGTTCACATGTAAAGTGGTATTATGGTTGCTTTCATTGTCTCTATGGCAGCATCTAATAACACCCCTGCTGTTTCCCATCCAAAGAGCCCACAGCCATTATTATTGCTATTATCATCTTTACTATTAAATGTTAGTACTGCCTCGGTATTGTGTAAGCACAATTTAGACCTGAGAAAGACAGTTCTTCTGACTCCAGTGAGGTGCCAGTGATACTTCTTAACTGGAAACCTAAATTTACAGAAACGAGAAGCCACACACCAACCCGTAGTAGACTCGCTTTCTCTCCCCTTCCTCCCCACCACCATTCCTCCATACCACCACCACACGGAGCTGGGATCACTGTTACTGTGAGCAGCAGATCGGACAAAAACCATCTTTCAACTATTTTTATTACTGCCAGATATCGCTGGGCCTCTCTGAAGGAAAGGATCCATTTCCACCGCATTTTGTACATCACAAAAGGTCCTCCTCTGAAGGTTCGGGTGGGGGCCCACAGCGTAAGGAGTAGCCTCATATCCAGCAGAATAGGGAAGAGGCTCAGCTGAGCTCACACAAAAAGCTTAGTGCCTTTTCAATCAAGATAAATAACAGCTAGGAATACTTCAGCTGTCTCAGCCCGACCAGATAAGAGGGGCTAGAAAAATCAGCCAGGGATTTGATCCGGTATATGCTGTGCTTCATGTGTTGTAACCTTCCTCACAGCCCTGCTGCCCCAGCCCATATTCACTGGCCTCTGGCTCAGTTTCTCACCAGATCTCCCACTTTCTATTGGGACAGGAAATGGGCCCTATATCCCAGGCCGCTTGGTTCAAGTCCTGATAGTCTCTTTGTGTTCATACTCTGGATCCTGTTTCTCATGCTCCTACTGGCTGGGACACTGTTCTCACCCAACAACAAAGCTATCTTACTTTGACTCACTACCCTTCCTCAACTCCTAGCATCACACCCCACCCACCGCTTTGGCGTGCCCTCAGATGCCACCAACTGGCTGTACCAAATGTGAGCACCGCACACCTTTGGATACTCCACACTGTCAGAGGTCATACTCAGGCCACAGCCCAGCTGATGGCTCAGTTACCCTGCTCCCCACCCCTACCCACATTCTGACTCCTGTCTCTGAGGTCCCAGAATGCCCCATCTGAGTCTGCCTATGTTTTGTCAGAAACCAGAGGCAAAATCCTGCAGTGCAGAGCTTTGTCTTTGCTCCCTTTTCTCTCCCTTTCTGAGTCCCTACTTCACTTCCCCTTGCTGTCCTCCCTACCCAGGGTCGGCCTCTGTTCCATAACCACAGACCTTCCTCTCTAGGCTTCTCCCCCACCCCATCTTAAAACTTCCATTCCTTTAATGGGCTGATGCAGACTGTTATAAAGAAAGCAATCTGATTAAACAAAGTTATATTAAGACAAAAATGACTGGCAACCTAAAGTAAGGAACATTTATTTGCATTTTCATTAACTTAAACCAGTGGTTCCTTTTTTAAAAAAAAGATTTTATTTATTCATTTGAGAGAGAGCGAAAGCGAGAGAGATCACAGAGGGAGAGGGAGAAGCAGACTCACGGCTAATGGAGAGCCTACTGTGGGGTCGATTCCAGGACTCTGAGATCATGACCCGAGCAGAAGGCAGATGCCCAACCGACTGAGCCACCCAGACGCCCCTAAAGCAGTGGTTCTTAACCCTGGCTACATTTTACATGCACTTGGGAGGCTATTGAAAATACCTCTGCTGGGGGCCCACCGCAGACCACCAGAATCTCTGGAGGTGGCATTCTGGCACCAGTCATTTTGAAAAGATGTCCAGGTAATTCTAGCGTGCAGTCAGAGTGAGAACCATCGACCTAAAGGAATGGATCTCGAAGAGTAAGGCAAAGATATGTACATTTGCTACCTCTCTGCCTCAAAGGATTTGTGGGTTAGCACTCAATCCTAACTTCTCTCAGTCTGACAGCCCAAAGAGTTTCAGAGCCTGGATTTATTTAACATTTCATGGTAGAGGCCAAAATGTCATTTCAAAGAGTATACTATTTAGAATGGGCGGGATGTGAAACACTCATGGAATGTAAGCTTGCAGGAGACACTGGGCTTCGTGAAGATTTGTAACATATTCTAAAGTTATGATACTAAATCTGTGAGCCTGTTTCTGGCATGACTCCTCCCTGGAAAGGGTTTTATATCTTTCAAAATAATTCTGTGCTCTGCTTTGAAAGTATCAAGCTCTATTATGAAGTAATCAGAGCCACACTGATTGCTTAACATTACAGGATCTTGTAGACCGGAGCTGGAAGCGGACTACTGTAGTTCCAGGAACTAAAACTTCTTGCCCTCATCTTCCCACAATGATCATAATTAAGGTCCAAGACTGGTGACACTTGAACCTTAAAATGGGCTTCTGTGTAGAGGCCAGGCTAACCCGGACCATTCTCTAACAAACCCATTGTTATGTTAAGAAAATGACTGGGACCAGGACAAATCCTAGCAGTAATCAATTTGACAAGTAGTTTCCGAGCTGTCCGTTCTCAAGCGGTGGAGTGGCCTGCAATGGGGAAATGAGCAGTGTTCCCACAAATCACTGCCACTTTCCGGAAAAAAGTCAAGCCTTAAAAAACTGGAATAAAAAATATCGAAACCAAGTGCCACAAGGGCTTGGCAATAAGAATAAGTAAGAGACATCGGATTCAAGAGGACCAGGAAGGGTTCCTCTTCCCCCAGATCTACTCAGCTCACTCTGGTGATGGTAGCTTTGCTGGGTCAGCCCTTTGCTTCATGCTTTGTCCATTGTCTCTGCAAGAATCACCTTTGAACATCAACCTTCTCTTGGAAGGGGAAAGGTTAAAATCTGGGCTGTCTCCTCATTTTAATATGTTTTTATTTATCAGCTAGGTCCCTCCGAATCAGCTAGTTGTGTGCTGCAAACAGATAAGCCCTGTTTTGGGGGGCCCGGGGAGGGGGGAGGCAGAGGAGAGAAGGGGGATGTATACCGTGGAGTCCAGAGAAGACAGGTTCCAAGTGAAATGTGATGAAGCAGGTGACAAGAATGGACCAAATTGGAGCCATAAGAGCACCCCTCTTTGGCTGATCTGAAACTACTGGGGTCCTAAAGGCATGGGGGGGGGTGGCTCCCGTGATGCTGAGAGCAGGCACTGGGACCGAAGGGCATTTTAACCACCGAGTTCTTTGTACCTTTATCTCGTTCATAAAGGAGGTTCCCTTGAAGCTGGACGGTCTTGGAGCCTGAGTGTGAGTGAAAGAGGGAGGCCGCCTGAAAACCCGGGGAGTAATGTGCTCTCCTAGGGTGCGAGGGCAGGAGACCTTTTGGAGATTGTAATACTACCCCCCGCCCCGCAAGCCACGTTTAAACCTCAGCGGGGAGAAAGCACTCACTGCGAATTCTGTCAGCCTGGCGAATCTGCTGAAGAACTTTCCCAATGCTGTGGCTGTCTTGTCCTGTGGTCAGGACGACCCCTACAGGTAGGCCATGGCTCTGAAGAGCACTTGCGACTCGGTTGGCGGTGTGCACCCAGAGGTCTTCAGCGGAGGAAATGACTCCTGCGTGAGCCCACTGGAAGTGCTTCATGACCGTTACCAGCACCCGGATGGGCGAAGGGATTGTCCGAGAAAAGGTCGGGTGGCTGTTTTGATTGTCTAATTCGTAATTCACACAAGCCCAAGAAAAAATCCCTTTGTTCCAACCGTTTGCCAGGAGCGAGGCGGCCTCGCAGTAGCCAGGATTGGCAGGGCCTAGAAATCCTGAGGCCATCTGGTGGTGAGAAATGAAACTGGAAAGGGCTCGGGCAGTCTGGCAGTCTTCATTGAGAATCACATATTCAAAAGAGTAGCCCGGGTCAAACGATGGGTCCCTGTTGATCCGCTCAATGGCTAATCGAGCAGCAACCTCAGGCAGAGCCTTTGAGAACAACGGATCACAAGCCCAAGGGCCCACTACCCCTATCTTGTAAGGGGGCGCCCACACCTGCTGTGGGATGGTCGTGAGGGCCAGGAGGCGCAAGCACCACAGGAGCTTGAAGGCTGCAAGGCCATGGTGTCTTCGCTGTCTTCTGGGAGCCGCACACCAGAGCATAAGGCGACAAAGAGGCCAGGGTCCCAAACACATAGCCCTCCTGCTTCCAGCGAGCTAGTGAAGAAATATTGGAAGGTTAGTCTGCTTTCCTGAGATGGACCGCGGTGTTTCCAAATGTCTGTCAATTAGAAGGAAAAATTCATTACTTGCCCTTATTCCTGAAGCTTCTGGAAAGATTCATTACAAAAGAATGGCAAGGAATGGCAGTACCCAAACTGAAAGTTTCTTCCCACTACCCTGACCAAAACGCCTCTTCTTATACTGCCTGTACTCATCTCAATAGATGGCACCTCCACATCCACCATTGGCCCCCTTGCTCCAGTCAGAAACCTGGTAGTCAGCTGAGATTCTGCCTTCTTCTCTGCCCCCACATTCAATCTATCACCAAGTCCTGTTGATTCAACTTCAGCAATAGCTACCCGCCTCACAGCATTTTGAGGATTACACGAATAAACATACAGCAAGTGCTTATGACAGGGTCTGGCATATTTTTAGCATTATATTAGCGATATTACTATCATTATCATTATTATAGTTTAAAATGTGCTCATTTTCCTCCACCATAATGCCTCTTGGAGAGAGACACAGATAAAAACCAATAATGGCAATGCAGAGTAAAAATATAGTATGATTTGGGGCGCTTGGGTGGCTCAGTCGTTAAGTGTCTGCCTTCGGCTCAGGCCATGATGGGATCGAGCCCCGTGTCAGGCTCCCTGCTCCGCGGAAAGCCTGTTTCTCCCTCTCCCACTCCACCTGCTTATGTTCCCTCTCTCACTGTCTCTCTCTCTGTCAAATAAATAAAATCTTTAAAAAATATACAGTATGATTTAAGTAGTTCAGCAGAGGAAGATAGGATCACCCAAACTCCAATTTCATGGAAGGTGAGGAGGGAGAAGGGACTGTCTCTCCAACTTGAGTATTGGAAGAAAGGTTAGCCAGGTTAATGGGGTTATGAGGGGGTTGGTGCTAAGGGCCTTCCAGGCAGAAGGAACAGAGTACAGTAAGACCCAGAGGTTTTTTTAAAAAAAAATGTTTTTATTTTTTTAAAGATTTTATTTATTTGATTGAGAAACAGAGAGGGCACTAGCGGGGAGAAGGGCAGAGGGAGAGGGACAAGCAGATTCCCCGCTGAGCGCAGAGCCCTACTCGGGACTTGATCCCAGGACCCTGAGATCATGACTTGAACCAAAGTCAGACACTTAACCAACTGAGCCACCTAGGCACCCCTAAAAATTATTTTTAAAGAAAAGGATCTGTTAGATACTTGGAATTCCAAGACATTTGTTCTGCTCAAATCTATGATGTCAGCTAAGGCAAGGGACGGGTCACCAAGAGTCTTATATGCCATTCATAGGTTTTTAGATTTAATCCTGTAGACAATAGTTTTAAGCAGAGAAATGGCATAATCAGATTTCACTTTTTAAAAGATTGCTCAAGGAGCAATGTGATGAACAGGTTGGAAGTGGGTGAGACTGGAGGCTTCCAGGTTGGAAGCTGTTGTAGTAATCGCATATGGGAACTGATGACAGACCAAGAGAGGGGTGGTGAAGATGTAAAAGAATGGAGACAAACTCCACCAAGATTAGAAAATGTCAAGGAGATTAAGCAAGTAGGACCAACAACAACTCGGTGACTGACAGGATGGAGAAGGTAAGGAGAAAAAGGACACTGGGGTGATTTTGACCTTTTCAGACCTAGGCAACTGGTTGGAAAATGATACAAGTCTCTGAGATAGGAACACTAGAGGAAAGGGATGGAGATATAGCACATTCATTTAGTCATGGTGAACTGGTAATGTCTGTAGAATATACAAGAGGCAATACCCAGTGGACAATTTGACACACTGGATCTCATCATAGAAAGCTGAGCTAGAGATAGAAATGTGAGTGTAATCAATTGATAGAGGATAATGGAAGACATGTAGAAGATTGGCAAAAGAGAGTTGTGAGGTAAAGAAAGAAGACAGGACAAAACCCTGAGAATCCATGTCACTTAAAGGTCAGGAAGAGAGGAAGGAGGTCATAATGAAAACTGACATGACAAGTCCAGGGAGACAGCAACATCCAAGAGACGGGGTGGTATCTTACAGTCCAAGGGAGATGAAGCTTGGAGGATGAAAAGTGTTTAGCCCATCTCACACTCCACTGAGAAGTCAAGTAAGCTAAAAATAGAAAAGGATCTGTTCATTGGATCTGGATTCAGAGTAAGGCTGCGAGTTAAGGGACCACAGTGAGTCAAAAATGAATGGGAATTAACGGAGTCAGTAAATGTAGAGAACTCTTTAAAAGGGATGCATGCAAAGACTTTCTCCATCTAGCCCTTGCCTTTATATCCCCATTGCCCACTGTTTTCACCTGATGCTGCAGTAAATTTCCTGCAGTTCTACAAACGTATATCTCATAGCCTGTCAGGCATAGGAAAATGCCATTCCTTCTGCCTGGAATTCCCTCTTCCCTCCTCTCACATTCCACTCCTGTGTTCTGATGAACTTTACCTTCAAGACCCAATTGAAGTCTTCCCTCCCCTGTTGTAGCCTTGGTTAACACTTTCAGATTGAGTTCATTGTTTTTTTCCATCTGTGCCTCATACTTATACCCATTAGGGAAGGTGTCACTCTGATTTATAAATTGCCCCTATTTCTGGTCTCTATTGTGACATGGATACTGTTGGATATCTCCACATATATGGGACCTCATACTTTCAACCACAAAGGATGAGCAATAACAAGCCCAACTCCCTATGGGGAACAGAGCCCACTGGATTGGGAGCTCCTAGAGGTCTTCTTCATAGTCCTAATGCCTAGCCAAGTTCCCAACACAGTAGCTATCAGATAAATGTTTGTGAAATGAATTTAAAAAACATTAAGGTTGATCCAAGATCAGAAATAACCTCACCAGACATAAGAAGATGAATGAATTGCTTAGGGGGGGGATGTTAATGATGAAAATCCTTAGTGAATTTTTAATTCTAACCAAAGATCAAAATAATGGCATGTATCTCTCTTCAGGGCTGATAATCAGTGCTGGTGTGTACCAGTCAAGCTCAACTGGTTGTTTATTACCGGCAAAAATTTTGCCTGTGTCAGCCCTGTTGGTTATTATCTTGAGTCTCATTTCTAATTTTGTGGGAAAGTCTGATTCCTCAAGAGACCAGTCAGGGGCACACATGCAGGATCTTAAAGACCTACCACAATAGTATACCCCAACATTTGTAAACAGGTGAAAGTGGGTTAAATTGAGGGTCAAGAAAGACTTAGGGAGGAAATGTCTCACAAAACAGCCTGATCCAGAGGCTGAAGTGTGTATATAATGGAGAAGGGAAACTTCCAACTTTGCTTTGGGGGTAGTGGAAAGGTGGTTCTGGGCTGATTATATCCATAAGGTCCTCAAATCTATTCCTAGACCGTCAGAGTAATCTAGCCCCAATCTCCATTCCCCCAAATAGATGTATTCTATGTGCCGACTGTGTTGAAGGCGTGAGGGTGAGATTCACAATGGATGAGGTATGAGATGTAGACTTAGCCTTCAAAGAGCTCCCAGCCCAACACTACAAGTTGAGCTCTCTACTCAAGAGCTCACATGCTTCTCTTTCCACTCTCCCCCAACCCAAATCTTTTATCTGTCATGGCAAAACTTGGGAGCCAGGGCGCTCTCAGGGTAGCATGTGAGAGGTTCTTATTTCTGGTCTGAACTGTGACAAGGTTATTGAACTTGATGATATCTCTGTCCTTAGAGGACCTCGCTCTTTCAACCACTAGGAGTGGACAACAGAGAGGGTGACTCTGTATGGGGAAGAGAGTCCTGTTCACAAGCAAGAGGGCAAAGAGGCCAACCAATGGCCTCTTCTCCCCCAAACACACCCAGTTTTGTGAGTTCTCTCCCAGAAGTGGTACATTTAAGCCAGAAATTAGCATTTGGATAACAAAGGCTAAGATTTACTGAGTTCTTGCTATGTATCAAACACTGGGCTAAACTCACATATTATCTTATTGCCCAAAACTCAATCAAAAGGAAAAAATTCACCATCACCCTTTGAGGCAGGTACCATTATCACCTACACTTAACAGATGATGAAACAGAGGCTCAGAAAGAAGTAACTTGCCTGAGGGCACACTGTGGTAGAATGGGGATTTGCACCCCAACTGATTAAGCACTAAAATAGACTGTTGACTGCCCCTAATCTGTGAAGTCACTGAGACCACTATTATTATACCTTCTTTGCTACCCATACCAAGTTTGCATAATTCATTTGTGGTTTTAAAAATTCCCTTAGTCCCCCCATGAAAAAATAAATTACATAATGAGGGGGAGGGGCAGAGTAAACTGGGAGGAGCAAACACATTCATTATCCAACCAAAAGGAATTTACCTCTGCTGTTCAAGCCCAGTCTTGGGACAGCTCTCTGAATCAGGGTTCAATGTTGCACAACTGGGGGTGGGGGGTACCAGTGACCCTGTATTCTATATAGAGCTAATCCTAGTCTTTGAGAATGGAAGTTTTGGGAGTACAACTTTCGAATGATCTGATTCTCAATTTCCTTACCAGCAAAATGGAGGTAAATTTAATTTAATGCTTTTGAAGTGAGGGATTAAGTAAGATAGAATGCTGAGCTCACAATTTTCTTTCAACAAATACTAGTTCTTCCTTGCTGTTTAAAAAGAGGACTGCGTTGGGAATCAGAAGGCCTGAGCCCTGAGCCCAGTTCTGCCACTGACTTGCCATGTGACTTTGAAGTTATCATTCCTCCTCTCTAGATCTCTCTTTTTTTCCCTCGGCTGGACTAGAGGATCTGCAAGTCCCTTTCTTTTCTGATATACATTGATCCTGGGATTCTGTACTTCTTCCAGGCAGTGACTTTATTAAACCTCTGCACCTGTTAAACTGCTTTCTGAATTCATTCAACGTTCTCTAGCCTTGGCTGTTCTAATTAGTTTTTCACTGATGTTGTATTCCCACAACTGGTTTGTACTTACTCTATCTGGCAGGTCCAGTTCCTGATTGTTTTATAATTTTGGTCTAGAATCCTCTATCAAA